TGGGGCAAGCTCGCAGGCTGGCCAGGCAGGAAGGCCAGGAGGCTGGCAGTCCACCCAGCCCCCTGTGAATCTTTACTCTTTTCCTTTGCGGTGTCTCTGGCGTTCTCTCACGGTGTCTTCCTCTCGCAGCCGTGAGCCTGAGCCGTTGCCATCTTCTGTCTCTGAGTGCCGCTACCTTTCAATGCCCGGCCCCCAGGCAGGAGCGCACACTTATGCTTGCCCACATCTTGCTCCGGGTGTCCACAATCAGACCTGTATGCCCCGGGCACAGCCTCCCAAGCGCTTTCTGCATTCGAGGCCCCAGGTGATAGCCAGAGGCTAGCGGTGTAAAAGCCTGAGCTATTTCACTTTACTCCAGGATCCTGCTTCAATATAGATAATGTTCTGCCCCTACCAAATTCTTGTAAAGTCGATGCTGTTAACTCCCAAAGGACCAAAAGCTGAGGTAACCCTTATAACACACCTGGAAGCCCTCATCGTAATTAACCTTAGCCTCATCTTAAAATCACCAGGAGCATTTACTTCCAACATTGATACTCCCACCCAAACCAAAAGACAGGATCTGGGGAGAAGGGGGTTAACACAAGAGAGGCGAGATCTCAAAACTTCACGTGTGTTCCTTCCTAATTGGAAGTCTGAACTGAAACCCACTTATCTAAGCCTTGCTTCTCCATCTTTTAATGTGCATGAAAAAAAAACCTTGATGGATGTTAATTAGATTTGTGGTGATCATTTTGCAATATATACATATATCAAATCATGTACATCTGAAATGAATGTTGTGTCAATAATGAAATAATGTTATGTTAATAATATCTCATTTTTTTACAATCACTTGAAGATCAAAAATGTAAAAATAAAAACGTAAATAGAAATCCGAAGAGGAGAATTAATCTGAATGTTTTCTCCCTGGCACTCTTAATACTAATCTAGAAAGTGACCTAGATTATAGAGTTCCCTTCCTTCCAAGAAAGAATATCAATGAAAATAACAAATAGAAGAGCTACTAGGTCATAATTGTTTTTCTCTCCTCTAACCTACTTCCCATTTGAAGGAGAGGAGCTAATCTTTTATTATAACAGTCTGCTAGTGCCAGTGAATGCCAACTGGTATATTCAATTTTCCTCTATATCTTCTAATTCAGTGCTCAGTGCTCTAATAGGATAACACAGCTACGGAAAGACTTTCATCCCTAGTGTTCGAAATTATATATATATATGTATAATTATATATCCAACAAATAAATATAACCTAATAGTCCCTCATTTCCCAAATTCTGAATCCTGATATTCTACCAGAAAAATTAGAAATTATAGCTTATTTGTAAATGAATACATGTAATGAAAAATATCTTCCTTTGGAATTGTCTCCTTTTCTCAGCTTTACTAAAATAAATTGACATATGACATTGTGAAAATTGAAGATATATGTGCTGACTTGATGTACTTATGTAATGCAAAATGATAACCACTATACACTTAAAGTGATTAGCACCATTGTGCTAACACCTCCAATGTGTCACATAATAAATTACTTTTTTGGGGTAAGAAGATTTAAATAAGATTGCTGATTCTTCCCAAAATTATCTAAAAAAATGGAAGATAGGGGAACATTTTAGAACTATTTTATGAGATCAGCATCACCTGATACCAAAACTAGATAAGGATACTACAAGAAAACCATAAACAAATATGTCTAATGTCTACTTTCTTAGCAACTTTCAGGTATATAATACAATATTATAAGCCACAGTCACCATTCTGCTCATTAGATCCCCAAAATTTATTCATATTATAACTGGTAGTGATACCGAATGCCAGCCTCAGGTCCCCTCTGCCAATAAAAGGAAAGAGTTTGAGAAGGAGAGCCATTTAATTTGTTGACAAACTGAGGAGAGCAGCAGACTTGTGTCTGAAAGACCACCATCCTGCTCTTCAGCAGAATGCAGGGGTATTTATACAAAAGGGGGGAGAGAAGGGCAAGGGTCAGCATGTCCTTTTGATGCAGGCCTATGGAGATATCTGGTGGGCTCCAGTTTGCTTTGTGAACACCTGCTGTTTAACTTCCTTATTATCTTCTTAGGATTGTTCTTCCTTTCCTTAGAATGCAAGAAGACAAACTTGTTAAATGCAACAGATAGGAATGCTTATTTGATGGGGCAGGAATTTAGATGAATTTTATTTCTTTGCCTCACCTGATTTCTGTGGTTAAAAACTTTCAGCACTAAAAAAAAAAGAAAATCTTTCAGTACTTTGTTGAATAGGAGTAGTGAATAGCATCATTGTCTTCTGGTGCGTCTTATTTTATAGGGAAAGCTTTCAAATTTTCATTCTCAGGAATGAATGTGGGTTTGTCATATAAGGCCTTTATTACGTTGAGGTATATTCCTTCTAAAAAGGGGCTGAACATTTTCATAAGGTGAAAGGATATTGTACTTTGTCCAGTACTTTTTCTATATCTATTGAGATGATGATATGACTTTTATCTTTCATTTTATTAACGTGGTTTATCACATTTGTTGATTTACATATATTAAATCATCTTTGCATCCCGGTGATAAATATTATTTATTTATAGTGTATAATTTTAATGTGCTGTTAAATTCAGTTGTTAATATTTTGTTGTGAATTTTACCCCTGTATTCATTAGACATATTTGTTTATGGTTTTCTTGTAGTATCCTTATCTAGTTTTGGTATCAGGTGATGCTGATCTCATAAAATAGTTCTAAATGTTCCCCTATCTTCCATTTTTTTAGATAATTTTGGGAAGAATCAGCAATCTTATTTAAATGTTTGTAAAACCATCTGATCATTTTCTGTGATAAAAGCTTTTTTTATTACTGATTTACTTTCCTTACTTGTTATTAGTCTATTAAGATCTATTTCTTCATGATACAGTCTTGGTAGATTATCTGTTTCTAGGAATTTATCCATTGCTTCTAGGTTATCCAGTTTGTTATCACATAATTATTCATAGTAGTTTCTTGAGATTCTTTGCATTTATGTGCTATCAGTTATAACATCACTTTCATTTCTGATTATGAGTTTTCTATCAGTCTAGCTAAAAGTTTGTCAACTTTGTTTATCTTTTTAAAAAAGGAACTCGGTTTTGTTGATCTTTTCTATTATTTTTTCTGGTTTCAATTTCATTTATTTCTGCTCTAATTGTTGTTACTTCCATCTTCCTAATAACCTAGAGCTTAATTTATATAATTTTTTCCTAGTTCCTTGAGGTATAAATTTAGGGAGTTTTATTTTAGATCTGCCTTTTTCCTTAATTAGGCATTTTTCACTGTAAACTTCCCTCATAGAATTGCTTTTGCAACACCCTGTCAGTTTTAGTATTTTGCATTTCAATTTTCATTTGTTTTAAAATATTTATTTTTAATTTCTTCTTTGACCTATTGATTGTTCAGGAGTGTTTTGTTTAATTTCCACATATTTGTGAAATTTCTGGCTTCCCTTCTGTTGTTGATCTATTATTAGATTATACTATTGTTATTATACTATTGTGGTTAGAAAATATGGTTGGTATAATTTCAATCTTCTCAAATTTGCTAGCATTTTCTAACATATCATATGATAGGCTTTATAATGTATCATAAGATCTAGCCTGAGAATATTCTTGTGCACTTGAGAAGAATGTGTATTTTTGCATGGAATTTTCATCTATATCTGTTTGGTTTGTTTGATATAAAGTATGGGTCAAGTCCAATATTTCCTTCTGATTTCTTGTCTGAATGATTTGTGCACTGTTGAAAGTGGGGTAATGAAATCCTCTAATATTATATTGTTGTTTATTTCTTCCTTCAGATCTAAGAGTATTTGCTTAATATACTTAGATATTATGTTGGATACATATATATTTATGGTTATTATGCCTTCTTGATAAATTGGATGAATTGACCCCATTATCATTATGCAATAGTCTTCCTTGTCTCTTATTACTTTTTTCACCTTAAAAGTTATTTTCTCTAATATAAGTATAAGCACTTAGTATGCATATTTATTATTTTCATCATCTTTGCCAATTTAATACATGAAAAGTACTAGATCATTTTACTTTGCATTTTTTTTATTATTTTTGAATGTGCAGGTAGATTTTTCCAATGAATTATCTGTAGCCACTGACATAAAAGATTTTCTCAGGATACTACAAAATGCTTTTAGTCCCTCTTTTCTCTTTTCTTTTTCTTGACTCTCCCTCCCTTCCCTTCCCTTCCCTTCCCATCCTCTTCTCTCCTCCTTCTTTCTTTCTCTCTCTCTCTCTCTCTTTCTCTCTCTCTCTCTCTCTCTCTCTCTCTCTCTCTCTCACACACACACACACACACACACACACACACACACACATTTTGTGCTTTCCCAGTCTACGGAATGGAGGGGTATTTGAGAAACATTACCAAAAAATCTTAATTTTCATTATATTTGATATAGTAAAGGAGTACAATTCACCCTAACACTCATCTTTTCCTTTGTTCAACATCTCTAAGGCTGTAGGTTTACTTTTTTTTGTTGTTCATTTTAATTAATTTTCAGTATTTAAAAGTCATGCCACATTTTACTTTCTCCTTTATTCATTTTCACTTCCTAGGTACTTCATAAATGATAAAGTCCAGTAATCCACTGATTTTCATAAATGTAATCTGTAATGATCACAAAGACTAAGAAAACTGTCTATGTTTTAATATTTCTTCTTACAGTAAAATGAAAGTCTCTAGATTACCCAAACCTGAAAGTTGACAAATTGAAATTTTACATGAAAGAACTTGGACTACATTCAGCGTGGGGTTACAGTTATAATTTAACTGGGTTACAGTTATAATTTAATAAACATCCCTCTGTCAAAGTTATTTCAATAATCACTCAGAAGCAAGACTTTTCAAATATTGTTATCTGAAATTTTATCAGAGTATTCTATTTATTCAGGTTCTTAAGAATGAAAGTAGTCACATAAAGGACAAAATGAAACTATTTTTCCTTTTCTCTCCTTTTCAGGGAGGACACCTTTCTACTATCACATCAGCTTTAAAGTCAAAAACATTGACTATGATAGCAAATATGAAAAACCATATTCACAAGAATATTTGAGCCTAAGTAAGAAGATAGAGACTTTGGTAAGTTGAAATATTTTCTGCTCATTATTCTTTTGAAATGTATGCTTCTAGAAGTGCCAGAATCCTAGCAATTATCTTCTAAATTGGAAATTATTGATACTTTCACATTATTTTCTTACCATTACCTTGGTCTAAATTAAGATAATTAACCCTTTCAGAAAGTTAGCTAGAAAACATATAAGATAAAACAAAGTGAAAAGGACACATTTTGAGAACTTCTTAGAAATGCCTGATATGTGCAAGATAGTTAATGAATATTTCTGTTATATTAATAAACTAAATGAAAAAAATGCATCCTACCTTCAATATACCTGTTTCTGTTCCTGAAACTACACAGTCCTTCAAGGAGGAGTAATACAGGATAAAGGAAAGAATGCATAGCCCAAAATAAAGATCATCTTTTAACTTAGTGTGGAGTGAATTTTTCATTTTAAATTTTAAAGTATTTAAATTTTAAATTTAATTTTAGATGTAAAGCATTTGTATAATATACCTTATTTTAAGTTATTCTTTACCTGACAAAAGATCCAATAAACACTCTTCAAAACCCGGGGAAAGAAGCTTCTTTTATCATAGATACCACCCTAGCTCAAGCAATTCTGTTGATCAAACCAAATCCTACAAAGCACAGTGGTAGCATCATTCATCTTCCATTCCTTGAGCAGATTCTTGAAAGCATCTCTAGATCCAGCTCTAACTAAAGCTTGTTGTCTTTTCATGACATTCCACTATCTCCCAGTTTCTAATAAATTAAGTCTATACAAGTCTTAGTGCATAGTTATCATTATACTAACATTATATAGAAAATGGGAAAAGAAAATTTCAGTTTAGTTCAGCTGTATGTCAAAAAAAATGACAAAGGAGTATTATAATACAATGATTAGAAATTAGACTGTAAGTCCTATTATTTATTATTTGTTTTAATTGCTTTTTTTTTACTGAAGTAATGTTGGTTTGCAACAAGATAATTTCTTTTCAAGAAGATAGGGCCTCCCCTGGTGGCGCAGGCAGTTGAGCAGAGTGCTGTGAAGCTGGCTACAGCCTCAACACACTAAGAAAGTCACCTTTTCTGCATAAATTCAAAGCAATTCATTTAAATCAGTTAATCTATATTGATTTCACAAACGAATATTCTAAAACTGTCAGTTTTATCAATTATAATATCCTCTTAGTCAGTCTACTACCAATCCTGCCCTCTTACTATAGGAAACTTTAACAGCCCTCCTTCCCAGTTTCTAACTCATCTGAACTAAAAGTCACCAGATATTTCTCATACTCTTTCATTTATATGCATCAAAGTACCTGCTTTTACATGCCTTTATGTTTTCATTTAATACAATGATGCTCTAGGTATTATAAGTATTAACAGGGACACACGTTAATAAGCACTACACTGATGATAATAGTATGTACCAGGGTTGTGAATCATGCATCTAACTAGTCATTATTATAATACTAGAGCCTACTTTTCTTCCATTTTCATTAAATAATTCTTGTGATGATTGACTCTAAAAAGAGGAAAGGAATTGTATAAAGAAAAGTTCTTTACTATGAAAAAGTTTTTTTAAGTAAAGAGATAGGCCTTCATAGGAAACCTTTCCATGTTTTAGATACATGGTTTTCTAATGAGAAATCAAGAAATCTTACATCATTTCTTAATTTTGGGGGGAAATCTTTAGTCGAGTTTCAACAGTGATCCTAAATTCAAGAATACTGTACTCTTTAATCCAAAATTTTGAAAACAAAATATGTTGTTTGTGTAGTAAATGGAAATCAGTATGTATTGTTTCCAGTCATAATTAAGAAATGTCAAGGTTTTTCAAAACATTTAATCAACATTAAAAACCTATTGTTCATATTTCAAATGACTTGAAGACAACTGACATAAACTACTGATATGTAGGTTTTCTTTTCCAGTGTTGAATAGAAAAAAATAAACATGTGTGCTGCCTCCTTTATATCCAACTTTATGGTGTATTTGTCATGTAGAGATAGCATCTTCCTGCCTCTGTGACATGTCATCCTATAATTCTTTGTAACCCAGTATAACTTAACAATAACAAAAACACTGATAAATTCATGAATGTATACATAGCTGATTTGAAAAAAAAGTTTAATATCTGAATTACTTTTATAAAAATTATTAAGAATTTCTTAAATAATTATATGCAGTTACTACACTAAAATTTGGTAGTTAGAGAGCAGGAATTCTTCAGAAAAGTGGCTCCAATTACTTTCTGTAATTCTTTTCACTCTTTCATTTAATATGGTTATTTCATTTGATCTTCAGAACATCCACTTAAGTCTAAAATTTTTCAAAGGACAATCCTTTTTCTATTAAGTGTGAAATAGCATCATATCAAAAACAAACAAACAATGTACATACCTTAATTCAATAATACTTCACATTTAAAATGTGTTGTTTACTGTAACCACCTTCATTAGTTATCTTAGCTAGATCATCTAAATAACTCGCTGCTGCTTCCATGTCAGCATGTGCTGCTTCACTTTGCACTTCTTTGTTATGGAGACAGTTTCTTTCTTTACATTTCATGAGCCAACATCTGCCAGCTTCAAACTTTTCTTCAACAGTTTCCTCACCTCTCTCAGCCTTCACAGAATTGAAGAGAGTTAGGACCTTGCCCTGAATTAGGCTTTGGTTGAAGTTTTAATCTATCCAGACCACCACAATTTTCTTCACATTAACAATAAAGCTGTTTTGCTTTCATATCATTGATATGTTCACTGGGGTAGTACTCTTAATTTCCTTCAACAACTTTTCCTTTGCATTCACAATGTGGCTGTTTTGCTCAAGACTTGCCTTTCAATGTGTCAGCTTTTTACGTGCTTTTCTCCATAAGCTTAATCACATCTAGCCTTTTATTTTAGAGTGAGGGACATGGGGTTCTTCTTTTTTCTTAAACACTTAGAAGTCATTACAGGTTTATAACTGGGCTAATTTCAACATGGATTGAGACTCAGGGAATAAGGAGGATCTAAAAGAAAGAGGATCTAAAACAAAGGACTGACAGTAGAGCGATCAGAACACATACATTTATCAATTAATTTAACTCTTATGTGGGCATACCTGTAGCACACCCCCCCAAACATTTACAATAATAACATAAAGATCAAGGATCACACATCACCATACCAGATATAATAATTATGGGAAAGTTTGAAATATTATAAGAATTACCAAAATATGACCTAGAGATACAAAGTGAGTATTTGTTGTTGGAAAAATGCCAGAGATAAACTTGCTCCATTCAGGGTTGCCACCAACCTTCAATTTGTAAAAATACAATCACTGAAAAGCACAATAAAACAATGCCTATATTATTATTTATAATTTTCAAATGAGTGAAACCATCTGGTAACTGTCTTTCACTTTCTCATTAATTTCATTTAGTATAATTATCTAAGGGCCCATCCATTTTGTCCCAATAAACACTTTCATCTTTTTTAATAGCTGGGTACTATTCCATTGAGTATACACTCCACAATTTCTTTATCCAGTCATCTGTCAATGGGTGTTTAGTCCAAGTCAACTTGGCTATTGTGAATTGATAAAGGTTATTTTAATACTGTAGAGATTATGATTTTTGCAGTTAATAAATCCATCCTGAGTCCAAAAATTTTGTTTCCATCAACATAGTCCAGAATTTCATTCTACCTTCTTTCCTAATGGTAACTTAGGAAGTATTTTGTGTATTTTTCTTTAGGAAGAAATGAGGGAATGAGGATGAAATGGAATACAAAGAATGGAATGAGGTGAAGAAGCTAGGAAAAGTAAAAATTAGGTCCATTTGATATGAAAGAGAAAGATTTGGAGTTGTAATAAGTGTATCTTTTGAATTCCATTTGAATTTCCAATCTGTCCTTCCTCATTACTGGCAAATTATTTTTGAAATCCTTGCTCAAAGCACTGCCCTGTTATCCTACATGGGTTTCTAAAACTTGGCATTGGTTTTAGGTCAAATATCTAGCAGTTATTTTCTTAGAAAGTCTTCCAATACACAAGAGTCTTAAAAATATAAATTGCGTAAGTATTACTGGATAAATTCCCATTCCACCATGTAGTTTATGGAACATCCTAGGTTTAAAGTTACTAATCACTTTAAAGATAACAGGTTTTAGTGTTATTCAAAATATTTTATAATCTTTTGAACTATTGTGATGCTTGGGAAAATAGATGTAGTCTAAAGAAGGTGAAGGAACTGAATGCCTGCACTGAAACCTGTAAGACACTGTCAAAGGAAGTAAAAGAAAACACAGAAATGGAAAGATATCCTGTGTTTATGGATTAAAAAAATAAACGTTGTTAAAAGTATGAATAAAACTATAAAATATTACTTTTTAAATAATTTATATGTTTTTTACATCATTGTTCATTTTTCTTTTTACAGTTTTTGCTTTTGTTTCTCAGGTTTAGTCCTCATAGAATTCCCACCACCAATCCACCCAGGCACCATCACCATAGTCCCTTGTGCTCTTCCCGCCCTCATTTTGATCCCTCTTCCTCCCCCTTCCCTGCAGAATGTCTCTAATTTATAGTTGTCTGCTTATTTTTGTTTTAGTTTGTTGTGTTGTATAAAACTATATCACTAAACACGAATTGTTAGTTTTTCATCTTTCAAGTCTCACTCAAATATCACCCTCTTCAAATACTGTCCCCTAATTCATAATATTAGTTTATACGATGATACATTTTGTATCATCTATCACAATCTCACTATCATATTTAGATATTTATTCCTAGACTATTTTATCCATTCGATCTCTAAGAAAGCATGTATCTAGTGATAGTTTTAGTTCAGTGAATATTTATTGAAAAATTAAGACATCCCAATTGCTTTGTAGCAAAAGGAAGAATATAAATGAAATCTGCAATTCCAACAAGTCATTGTTTTGAAAGGCCTATCTATTGTCAAAGCAAAAACCATGGGGTTTTGTCCAATATAATTTGTCATGTGATCCTCTGTAAAATCCTATTCTGGAGAATCATCCATTAGGGTAAAGTAAGGAGCAGTTGAGAAAATAATTCTTATATAAAATTTCTCTGGTATCCCATTTTGAACCTGTCAATATCATACAATTGAAAGAACAAGGGAAACGGTTTGGAGCTCAGAGATAAAAGGGAATTGATATGGGTACAAAAAAAAATCAACACCTCCTCCTTATGGGGTATATATGTTAGACTTTATGATATTGATGTTCAATAAAAGCCTGAACATGGAAGACAAACTAAGTCAGTTGGCCCTTTGAATTCACCTGCCTTATCATGCTACTGTTAGGAAGGAAATGTCTGTGTGACAAATTGCCACAAAAATATCACTGCCATTTAATTTTTTGGTTTAAAGGAATCGTGTGAATGAATTGATCCATCATAAAGATGTTTTTCAAAAAGACACAAGTTTAATATGTTGTATCATTTTCTTAAATGAGTTTTATAGTGTTCTATATATATGTTATAGTTTTTTTTTTTTTTACAATCTGTATTTGATGATATTAAGGAATTATTTCATTCCTGGGATGTGGGCAGATGTAAACTAAAATGGATTTGCCATTTATTGATAACTGGTGAAACTGAATGATGAATACATGGGGTTCGTTATACTATTTTTGCTTTTGTGTCAATTTGAAGTTCTCCACAATGAAAATTTAAAAGGAAAAAAGAAGTCATTATCTCTTTTATGTTTTAACAGATAAATGAAACATTTCATGGCTCCAAACTAAGAAAACAGTATGTCCGCTCTCATGTTGTGCAAGTAAGGTAGGTAAATAGCCTGAGAAGCTGTTTTTATCTGTCAGCTTTATGTCTCACACTCAACCGAATATCTTTGTAATGCCTACAATTAAAAGGATAAAATAAATTTGAATTAGGGGTTTCAAAACCACTTTCAAAAATGAAAGAAGATATTCAAGGTCTGTTGGGAAATTATTAAACCACAACCAAGAATTGACTGATTACATCAGGTGAAAGGGCACAAAAATCAAAAAAGCAAATCTAAAAGCAGGTGATCATTTCAACATAAGAAAACAATGGGTAAGAGAGAGACATATCCAGAATGTCTTAACCAGGAGTGTCAAACTAGTAACTAATGGGCCAAATCTGCCTTAGAGTTGTGGAATGAAGGTAAAAGTTTGGAGATTTCACATAAAAGACAGAATTTTCAGAATGGTTTGGAAAATAAAAGATCTGATAACACTAACAGGCTGAAACTGATGCTGTTCAATTTGTAACAGCCCCAAATAGTCACACAATATATACATATGTATATACTCCAACCAGCTTCACCTTTTACCTTACCTTTCTGGTCCCAATAGAAATCCAATTCTATAGCTGTTGTCTAGTAAAGAAGTTGTTTTTTCCAACACTGGTGAGGAACAGGAGAGCAGAGCACGATATTTAAAAAATCAAAACCACAAGCACAAATAGAGCAGTTAATATGCATTGGAATCTACCTGTGTCTAAAATTGCAACTTGTGCTATTTTATTTTCTTGGTTTATTTCTAAATAATCCATGTCCCAGAGAATGTCATTTGAATCGAGTAGTTACCCTGATAACAACCCTGAAATGTCTGTATATATTAGTTTTCCACTTTACAATGAGGAAATTGAAGCAAAGATAGGTTAAGTGACTTGCAGGGTCACAAATTTAAAAAATAACAAATCTGTAGTTTCAAAGCAAGCAATCTTTTTGTTCAAAGATTTTATTTATTTTTGTGCAGTTGAAGAACAGGGGTACAGTCAGAGGTATGTTTGTGGGGGTGAGAGGATTCACCAGAGAGAGTGGGGAGCAGAATAGGAAGCTCTACTACAATACACTACTAAGGGGAGCGGAGGCAAAAGAGGAGAAGTCTTAAGGCAAAACAGGAGAGGTCTGCTGGGCCATGTGGGTTAGCTTCCTGGACAGAGATCGAACTCAAGCCTTCATCGTGGTAGTAGCACTGAGACTTAACCACAAGGCCACCAGGGAGATTCCAGAAGTCAAGCAATCTTATATGGATTGTTGCATCAATTTGTCTAATCTCCAGTGATTATTTTAACTATACTCCACTACAATCCTTTCTCCACACAGCAATCAAAGTGAATTGGAAGAGCACATCATTCATCTGCATGAGTCACCTTAGCAATTTCCCACAAACTCCAATCTCCACATAGTCCCTACAACTCTGACTGACCTGGCCTGACTCATTGACCTCATCTCATACCATGTTTCTCCCTCATGATTTTAAATCCTTACTAACCCATTACTATTCTTCCAATAAGCATGCCAAAATTGTTCCTACCACACTGTCAAAACACAAATTGCACCAAATTTAAGCATACAAAAAGACTTTATGCAAGGTTGTTGCAATAATGGAGAAAGGTGAGAACGAAGTCCTAATTCCCTTGAAGTGAAGGATAATTTCATATTTAAAGGCTGAAGTGAGAGGGAGATCTTATTCTCTCTGTGTTTTCCAATTGGTTTTGCCCAAAGAAAGATAAACTTCTTGTATCTTTATGATCAGATGGAGCAGGGTAACCACCACGGTTAAACTTCCACTCTCACATGGAAACTGTGAGATAAGGTACTATCTCCTCTGATTGACATTCAAAGACATTGCTTTCAGATTCTTAAAGAAGACATTTTTGGAGTTACAAAACTGGAAAAGGCCTTTAAGATTTTCAAATATTTCAGAGGGCAGTGAAAAAGTTTACAAGTTTTTTAAAGTAAATTTTCTAAAAACAAAAAAAAAGGGGGGTGTGGGTTATCAGAGATCTAGAGCCAGAAAGAAGACTACTAGACACTTAACAGAACTAAGGGAATGTTAAGGTTTCTTCATAGCACTTATTTTAAAGATTATTTTATTTCTTTGTTTCCTTGTTTATTTGTCTCACCTACTGACATGAAGGCAGGGACCTTTGGTCTAATATGTTAAAATAACTCCGTACCTAAAGCTCTGTCAGATATATTTCCTGAACTAATACATATTTGTTAAATGAATGAATAAATCAATCAACAAATAGAAAGTTCAGCAATGGAAAGGAAAACTACCTGTAGCAAAAAATTACTGATATTTGTCATACAAAACTAAATATTATTTTAAAGTGAAGAAAAGGTAAAATTCAAGTAACTGTCGAGTCATGTTTTCAGTGAAAGAGATCATATGACTTGAATGATGTCAGATTAAGAAGTCATCTGTCTATATTTAGTTTGGTTTTAATTCATTATTTGACCAAAGAGAAAAGTTCAGAGTAACATCGATGGTTTGACAAAATATTTAAAATAAACAGAGTAATATGATATGTCCTTGTCTGCTCCATAATGAACAGAGGGCTTATCCCTACAGATCAGATAAGAAAAAGTTAACATTGCATAAAGGCAGCTGTGGTGAAAATGCTAAAAAATTGACATGTAATTACTAAAGGCTTAATACTTTAAAAAGCAATAAAAATAATACATTTACAGCACTCAAAGGAAGATCATGTATAGCATTCATCCTAAAACATAAAGTAATAAGGGGTGACATAGAAATTAGCTAGTCCATTTACTTGGAATTATCCTGGGAAAAAATATTGAAATAATAAGGATTTTTAATCACTTAGAAAATCTTGGATCTTGGCCATGGTTACTGTTTTTTGTTCATGCGTATATAAAGGTTTTAAAGTGGAAACTTCTGGGGTTGTTCTTGAGTTACTTAGAGCTCTGGGATTGTTGTGGATTTCCAAATGCACAAATGTAGAGAAATGCCTAGGAATAGATGAGGAGAAATGGAAACAAAAAATGCAACCGAATAGACTTTCCATCAAGTTAGTAGTAATTTACTTTTAAAATTTCTGACTTTACATTTGCATCTTCAAGCCCAAATTACAAATAACTTCAGTCTAGCATTTTTGTTCAGTCATGATTTCCAAAAGGTAAGAGAGAAATGACACATTTTTGCAAATTAAACATCCACTGAAAAAAAGAAAAAAGCAGTGATAATTCTATAATCTTATCTGTTAGATTTCATTTTGCTTTTTGCTACTGGCTATTCCTACAGAGTCCATAGTGGATGTATAATGCATAGATACATTTATATTAACAGTAATTTTTATATAGCACTTAGCTTTTTCAAAATACCTTCATGCCCATTATCTTATATGATGTTTACAATAACCTAATAATATTATTATCCCATTATAGAGATGAGAAAAACATAAGCACAGAGAATGCCAACAGCATGCTATAATCAAGAAGTTGCCAAATGATGAATCCAAAACACTATTCAGTGCTCCTGCTTCTAAGTCACTCTGTTTACTGTTCACCATATCCATAGAATGTCAATCCCACTTCCTTGAGAGGAACTGAAATAGTTCTCAGATCTGCTTTAAAAAAGTTAGCATGACCACTAAGAGTGATAAAGGCTCCATAAAAAAAAAGCATAATTTATTTTTCTGTTTCTGTTCTACAGCCGCGCCAAGGGGAAAGTAATAATTCACTCTGTGCTGAAGTTCAAATCCTATTATAAAAATAATGCAGCAAAGTTCTGGGATAAGATACAAACCATTTTATATCAGAAGATAAAGGGTGAAACTGGGACTTTAAATATAGATTCTTCTTCTTTCAGATTTTCAGGTAAGCCTTTTTATATATGCTATAAAAAGATTTACATCTTTTATTTTTGTGTTTGGTTCTGCAAGTGAAAACTGCACTTCTCCCTTAAAATACCATTTCATATGCAATGATAATTGCTGTTAATGAAGGTTAAAGTAATCAGGGTTCATGTTTATCAATTTCTTGGGTATATTATTTATGTATCCATGGAATTAAACCATATTGGTGATTTTTTCTTTTTTTAAGTAAATAATGTCCCAAATAACATTTCTTAGTAAAGTACCATTAAACATAAACTCTTATGGTTTGTTCTGTGGTTCATGATTCTCTCAATTCCTCTGGGTGTCTCAAGAATCTAGACCTAAATTCCAGAATTAGGTTTAAACCTCTTTAATAGCAATAGCATTACTTTTTCTTTTTTGAGATTTATTTTTTATTTATTTATGCATGCAAGAACTGGGGTATAGGCCAGAGGGGGCAGGTGATGGTGAGGGGATTCACCATAGACAGAGCGGGGAGCAGAACAGGCAGATATACTGAAATACACTGCTCAGGGGAGCAGCCAGGGAGACAGGAGAGGTCTGCTACACCAGATGTGGTTAGCTCCCTAGCCTGGATCAAACTCATGCCAGAGTGACTGGAGATGGCTTGATAGCCCTGAGACTTTAACCCCCATGCCACCAGGGAAGTCCCCATTACTTTTTCTTGATGGCCCTTTAATGGATCTTGTCTCTTGCAATCATATATACAAAATAAATTCCTTATTTTGGTTGCCTAACAGCACTGAGAGCAATTTCCTCTAAAATAGGGATAGCTCTCCCTTCTTTCCCAGGATCTAAAGTGTCTCTCTGATAACAGTACAGCCAACACCTGGCACAGCTAAGCTAGGCTATCAGTTCTCTGCTACAACAGTTTTAACCAAGGGCATAAAAGTATCACTACCCCTGCAGGAAGGACTAAAAGGATTAAATACTTGTGAGGAAAAAAAATTCTAGGCCACGTGTTCACTTGCATGGAACATCAAAAGGATCAAAAAACAAACCTTGAACATGCTTCTCCTGCATAAGAGGCCATTATGTTGTTGAAATGTGACTCCCTTTGGTTTACTAGCTACTTTCTTTCAGAACTTTCCTTCTCACACAATTTACCCTATGTGTGACTTTGAAAGAACACAGAGAAGCAAAGCAACTCTCCAGTTTATTGTTGACACCAAAGATAGGTTTTTGGAAATTCATCTACTAAAAAAAATGTGCTAACATGTAAAGACATAGCATTATGTTCCAAGTATTCTCCAAAAATTTAAGAATATTACTTAGGATCCCAAGAAACAAGATTTTCTAGGAATCTTTTCCAGATTTTTCTTGGTTGTTTTGTTTATTATAATGATCTTCTAAAATTTTATGAAGATCAGTGACTTTTAAGGATGTCATGTTTGAAGTACAGATGGTGCTTTGGTATTGTTTTAACCTCTCCCTGTTGTTTAGTAACTCCCTCCCCCCACCCCCTTCTTTATCTTTCATCACAAGTTAGATACTGCATGAAGCTGCCTGACAGTTCATAGGTGCAGGATCAAACCCAGATGCCCACAGGCCCAAAGCAACAATGAAACGAGTTAACACAAAGTTCACAAAACAGCCCTCACAGAGAGGAATTGTGAATATTCATTGTTCACCACATAAATAAGTCTCTGATTTAGGGATCTATGAAAAGTTTATTTAAGTAGTTAACCTTGCTGTCATAACATCTTTATTGAATAGTCTGACCTTTTTATGTTGTTTAGTTATTTGGTTATTTAGAGCTTGGTCCTAAGTATGTCAAGGCTTTGGATTTCATATTCATAAAAGCCTCTTAACATAGAAAGAAAAGTGACCATTTCGTACAGTTGTGACTTTAGACATCAATTATCAGTGGTTTTAGTTACAATGAATGATTAGATACAGCACCAATGTCCCCAAGTTACTAAGCCTAGAAAAACGGGATTATGCTAAATAAAATAAGGCAGGAGAAAGAAAAATGTATGATCTTGTTCATATGTGGAATACAGTCTGACAAAAAGTCAGAAAAACACAAACTCTAGAAATGAGAGGGAGCACAATGGATTATGGTAGAAGACTACAGGTGCCTGGCGGTGGGTATAGTGTGGTAACATACATTGAAGAGGAAGGTTCTATATTTCTGAATCATATACAGTGTTGTAAACTACTGTTACCCTATTTAAACATATTACTCATAATAATAATCATTAAGATCCATAACAATAATACGTAACTTCATTTTCTACTCACTGAATTCCTGAATTCCATGAAAGATAACAATAACAATGCTATTAACTTACAAGGTACTAACAAAATTAGTATTTTTGCAGTACATACTTCAGTGAAAGATCGATGTTTTCTCTACCAATTCTACACTCACTAGATGAGAAGATCTTCAAATTGACTAGTTAATATAAAGTATAAAACCTAGAAAAACCACTGAGAGTATGGTGTTTCCCTGTTCAAAAGAGAACTGTTTCCTAAAAAAATCTCTCAGAAAGAGATCACTTAGTCTAATACTGCTGACATCCTTGGGGAAAGTTTTTATATATTCCCAAAATTCATAATAAATTATGCCTAAACAACTCCTTTAAGTTCAAGTTAGTTAACACAATTTTGCTTTATTATTTTATGATTGTTAACATGATTCCATTAATTTATTTTATAGCTTAACTATCAAAACTGAACATAATCTGATACTTAAGTGTTTATGTAATTCAAAATTTAATGCAGAAACAAAAGAACGAAGGAAGGGAGAGAGAAAAGGAAGGGAAGAAAGAGGAGAAGAGAGAGAGAGAGAGGAAAAGAGACAAAGAAAGGAAACTTCTCCTGGAAATTCTGGAAGGAAAATTTCAAATCAGTTCTTGTGTAAACAGATATGTGCCTCATAAGCTAAAGTGAACATTTTAAATAGGATGTCTTATAAAATCGAATGCTCATAAACTTAATGAACATATTTAAGGTATTGCTGTAATTTGTTTTTAAAAACTAATGATTATTTAATGCCTTGTATATACTGGTACACTTAACCTAATGAATTGAGTAGGTATGAAAAATATTTTTAAAACTTATACTAATATGTGATTGCTTAAAATAAAAACTCAAATTATATAGAAAGAATAGAAAGAATAATACTATACATGAGGATGATGGGCCTGACCCGCAACTAAGAGGGTTTTTTTTTAATTATTTATTTTCTTACATCATTGTTAATTTTACAGTATTTGATTTCTCCCCCACCACCATACAACACATGATCCATCACCACAGTTCCTTGTGCTCTTCCCTCCCCTGTTTTGACCCAGAGTTTTAAAAGAATAACCCTCTGACTAGCACTCATTTATGAGCAGCTGACCAATATCGGATGGATTATGTTAATATAACACACCTTTTCATGCCACTGGGCCATGACACATTGCATCGCTTTGTTTGTACCGTGCTTTAAACAACCAAACTACCCAATCACTTTCTGATAAATTCTGGAGGACATTTTTTAAAAGGATACTATTGATTATGTGTCCTTACTTAACCAAGAAGCAATCTTCAGCTCTATCAACATGTTTTATGAGCAAAATATTTCCTGAAATAGCCTAAGGAGTATAAGATGAGCATTGACAATTCCTTAGAAATAAGTCTTTCTAAATAGGTAATTTCAAAATATAGTTTATATTTTATCTTTTTAACAAATATGAAGACTTGCAGTACTCACTTTGGCAGTGCATATATTAACTATAAGGCTTCCTTAAAATTACCTTTTTAAAAAAATCTTTCTCAAATTTACCATGTATATTTCTGACATTTCTGTGGACATCATCAAAATACAGTAGACATATTAATGATCAGGGCACTTAGAGTTATTGGCGTCATCACCAAATGACCCCACTACTTGAGTTTTTGAACTCTCGTATTTTCTTTCTTTGTCATATTTGATTTTAAGCATAGTTCTTGCTGTTATTTCTATTTTCTTTGTGGCCTTTCTTCTGTCTTCTTCCAATTCACTTGAATATTTTGTAGTAACTTACATACAAAAATTAGAATAAGGGTGTGTTGGGCATCCTCATACATCATATGAACTTTAGTGCATTGATATTATGATACATATTCGGGCTCCTTAGACAATCTTGTCTTCTGATTCTTGACTTTATTATTGGAAATTTTGCCAAGGCTTCTGGAAAGATGTGGAGCACTGTTTCTGCTGATATTCCAAAATATCTATCAATAAATTCAGGAATTTACTTAAAATAATATTTCTTTTAAGTATTTTTCAAATGAAACTTTGAGCTTAAAGCCAAAATATATATATTATTGAATAAATCAGCTATGTATTAGATGCTTTCCAGCTACTCTAAGAGATTTAAATATCAATGGTTATTGCACTAAAGGACCCATTGTCAACAGGACACACAACATGTTTCCACAAAAATATCCAAAATCTAAGAGTGACTTTACCAAACTATCATTCTTATTTTCTAATCTCTGTAAGAGGAAAAGCCATAATAACTTTATAAAAGTCACTTTTGATAGTCAGAAACTAATTTTAAACAATTCATACTAGAACAATCCATCTTGTGAACTCCACTTAGTTCAGTTAATTGCCTGGACTACTAAAAGATCCTTCAGGAGTGACTCAGTTCTAGACGCAGAAAAGACTCTGAGACTCCAGACCTAAATAGGTAGATTAATAGTAGATCAAAAGACCTCCCCGGTGGCGCAGCGGTTGAGCGCTGGGTTGCGAAGCTGCCCATGGCCTCTGCAGTGCTGGTTCAATCCCCGGCTGCTCCCGGCCACCGGAGGAGGGTCCCACATGGCGCGCAGACCTCTCCTGCTGCCCGCTGCTCCCCTCAGCAGTGTACTTCGGTCCTTCTGCCTGCTCTGCTCTCCCCTCTAGCTCTGGTGAATTCTCTCACCCTCCCGCGCTTCTGACTGTACCCAGTGCATGTATGAACAAAAAACAAACAAACAAACAAATAAATAAATAATAAAAAA